AACGCTAACATAACTTTAAAAATAACAAAAACCCATGCATTTGCACGGGTTAAAACTAGTAATAGTAATAAATTGTAAACTTATCGAGATTATAAATTAAAATGCACGGGTTAAAACTAGTAATAGTAATAAATTGTAAACTTATCGAGCTTATAAATTAGAGAATACGTGATAAGATCATAAGAATGTCTAAATAATAGTACTAGGATTTTTTTTTTTTTACTTCATTTTATTATCTTTAGTAATTCAAAGGTGTAGAAAGAATAAAAAGTTGTGAATAACTCCTTTTTTTCGTTTTTTAATACCTAGAATCCCGATTCATCATTATAAATGAGGGGATATATTATAAGAATGTCTTAATGATAGTATAGTAGGACTGTATATTGCTCTTTTAGTGATTACTAGTAATTGAAAGCAAGCTTATCCTAATTATAGACGATGGAGGACATGGTAAAAATGTCTTAATGAGAGAAAGTACTTCATATCGCTCTTTTACTACCTATCTATATTACTAGTTTGTTGCGTGTGCATTGCGCTCTTATTACCTGTGATTATTATTTTAGTTCCGTTAAGTGTTTTTCTTCGATGTGAAACAGTATAAAACAAATTTGAACTATGATTCTCTAACAATATAGGGATTGCTAACAGGGAGTGAGTGACACGGTGTGGTGACCGGGCATGACTTGAAGTTGTATTTTTTATTTTTTATTTTAAAAACTGTCCTATTATGTATTGACATGTGTCCCCTCGTTTAGTTTGTCTATAGCAAAGTTCTTTTCTCTAATTTGTTTTTGCACTAATTGAGACTTTATTAAGTCCCCTATTTGGGAATTTTGAAATATGAATTTTTATGAAGAAATATAGTTAAAAATAAGGAAAAATTTTGTATTTACGTGTAATATTATTTTACTGAAAAATGCGTGATTAAAATGAAGAGAGAAAAATATGTATTAAATTGTAATGGAGACCAAACAGAGTCTAAATTGATATAACAAAGAAAATATAGATCTTGTGAAGAGTTTTGCCTTGATTCAAAAGACATGTTACACATTTAATAGTCCTACTCATGTATTTGCAAAATCATGTATAATGTCGTCTTACTAATTTAAAATGGTGGTAATATTTTAAAAATTCACAATATTTTATAATAAGTTGGTAATTAATGGTGGATTCCGCATCAAATAATGTCATCCTCGTTATAATGTTATATTACTTGGAAAGTTATTGATAACAATTGTTTTTTCAATAACATTAAATAAAATTTCTTAATCCGTGTGAAAAATGAAACAAGCCTGTATATATATGGGACGGAAGGAGTATTACTCTAGTGCATTAACTCTCGACCATCTACAAAAATAATCTAAAGGACAAAACTTCAATGATCAATGAATTGAAGAAAGCTCAATTGAAATGAACTGACGAAAGTTGTTCGACCATATATTTTTGTCGAGAAAATGTATGTTCTCATTTCTTTAACTTCAACGTTTCTTATGCCTTGCTTGATAGAGTGAACCAACTTGTACCATATTATATGAGAGAACACATGCTAAAGTCTTCTTTATTGCTATCAACTATGCAATTGACACCTTGACATGCAACTCAAAAATGATTCCATTTGGATACAACTAACAATTTGGTTTATAAATTCAGTATAAGTCGAACATTAATTTCAACTACACATTCATAACCATCGATCACTATCATCCACAAATTTTGTGGAACCCAGTACTATTCCTATTACCATTTATAAGTTTGCCAACAGAATCTAATTCGACTAGGAATTTAAATCAAACCTTCATAACTCAAAAGAGTTATAGAGCTCATTATATTTGCAAAAGGAAAAGGGGAGTTTTAAGGTATTACATAAAGCCAATGCAATTTGGATTCCCTCTATAAAGGTATGTACTAAATAACATGCAAATAATGGTAGAAACCAAGAACACAAATGCAAATGAACTAAGATAGGAAAAACAAAGAAGCACCAAAGCGACGTGCATGCTGACCAAATCAATTAAACGACGTGACGGTTCAGAGGGTGGAGAAAAACAAGCTTTTCCCTCCTACTTGCAGGATAATAAATTGTCATTTTGTGTGTGAGCTCCTGGAGGTTAGCAGCCAGTGACAACTACTGCCAAATATATAGAACTTGTTGGGATCGAACAAAATGCAAAGTATACAATATTGCACGATCCCATATCAGGCAGAGAGAGAGAGAGAGAGAGAGAGAGAGAGAGGGGAGCAGCCATATGTTACTTAACATGTTTAGTATTTAATAAAGAGAAGAGAATGAACCAGTATCAAAATAGTACATCGTTTATTTTGAAATAATTATCATAGCAGAAGAAGCAATCACAATATGATCATATTTATCTAGTCGTTATGCTCAGAATACATTTTTGATAAACTGAAATAGAATTTTTTTTAGAATCAAGGTTCAAAGTGTTTCCATGCAAGTATAAAGAAGCCATGCATCTAAAGAAAGACTGCAACCAAGTTCTCAAAATTCCATAACGGACATGTAAAATCCTAAAGAGAAAACCAAGACCTTTCTATAATCACGTCAAACAATAAACTTTTTTCTTATGTAACAAAGTTAAGTCTCATAAAACTGATTGTAATGCTGCACCGTGCTGAGTACTACAACAACAAAAAAAAAGGATACTACTTTCAAAGACAGAATTAAAAAGTCAACTGCTGCAAGAAAACAAGGTTGACATTGAAGATGGCAACCAGTGGTCACTTGAAACAACCCACCCACCCCAACAAGAAAAAAATGAAAAGGGAAATCTTCCTCGCCCTCTTTAATGTAAAGAAGCACGACCTATAGTATATGTTTACAGAGTGTAAAGTCCAAAGTTTTAATAAGAAGCTCAACTAATCCACAATACACTGAGAGTTACACCTTTTTTTTTATAACCGTGGATGTTCGGATTAGCTTGCACGCACCTCGACTAATTCTACGGGACCCTGAAGTTTACGGCCAGGTACTCACCTCAGTGGCCTTGAGGGGATTCGAACTGGTGACCATTGGGGAGCAAACCCAAGGCCTGACCAATTGAACAACCCCTCAAGGTTCAGAGTTACACCTCAAACACTTGACAAGTCGCTGTCACAACAAAGTATCAAATTCAAGTAAAAGATATCACAAAGGACCAGGTTGATAACTAGCATTCTCAGAGATGAAATCATGGCCAAGATATGTTATCAACATTATATATAATTTATGAGTCCAAGATATGATTCCAACAACCAATGCAATTCATGAGGGCAAATCCATGTAAAAAAATTAGTTTCTCAAATAAAAAACACAGTAGATGTACAAAATCATTACAGTATATGGAGTGCGTGGATGTCTTTCTAAAACCTTTGAGCCCAATACATCCAAACCTGTAAAGAAGAGTACATCAGCTACCTGAATGTAGGTGGTGAAACTTTCATTTGGAGCAGAAAAAGCATACTTTTGCCCGCATTTTATGTACTTTTTCTTTTCATGTTGTGCAGAATAAGGGGTGTTCCCTCGAATAGATCCAACAAATAATTCTCCAAATCCTCGCCAGTGTATTTTATGTATTTTCCAGCATTCCTCCCACTTTCTAAATGATTCCCAAACCTTCCCAAAAATGAGCGGTAAGCTGGAATGACTTTTTCTGAAATTGATATTCGAAGCTCTTCACGTAGCTGAGAATCTGGAACCTTCCAACCCGTCTGAATCCTGTAGATATCTTCAAAGCATGCATTAAAGTTCTTAAACCTCTCCTTTAGAACCACCTTCGAGACATTGCTTGAGCTCCCACCTGTCCCTTCATCTTTCAAACAAGATAAAACCTTGCTCCAAGTTGCCCTTAGATAATATGTTGAATACTGTCGAATCTGACCCCCTCGTTTTTTAATCCAGTTATCTCCCAAAAGGTTTCGAAGCTGTGAGTCTTTCACTTTCTGGACGATGTAAAGTATATTGTTCATTAAAAATATATTTTGCAATGCATTATCGTCGTACATTCTCGACTTCTCCTCAAGATTTGATTCCAATGATTTGATCAGTGCCAATAGACGTCGAGCTACAAGCGACATGTTATCCACCTCCAAATTATCTTTATTCTCACTCAGTGACTCTCCTGATTCATCCTCCACATTCTCCAAAAGTGTATTGAGAGTGTTGGTATAATCCACAAGCAGTTTCACATAATTCATAACATAGCGAGAGAGCGGGTGAATCTCACCATTCGGTATCGGCTTCTTAGAAGCCTCCCCCTTAACCGCGTTCTCAAACTCTACGAAAATCCCAATGGCTGCATAGCCTAACCCATCCAACACGCCCTTGGTCTCGCTACAAACCATTTCACCAGCTTCTTCATCCATAAATAGCGCCTGCAAATCAGGTAAAACCTCAGCCAAAGTATCATACATATCAAGGACCCGAAAAAGTTTCTCCGAGGACCTCCTCCCTATTGCAACAGCCTCACCAAAACTCAATAACTGCATCACACAACCTTTGGACGTCTCCAGAAAGCAAACCTCCTTGATCAAATCAGACCCACTAAAGATCTGCTCACAGAGGCGTTTTTCACTTGACAAAAGACCGTGAACAACGACTTTAACAGCTTGAATCCACTTTTTCATTTTATCATCCAATGAACGCCACTCAATCCTCTGGACCTCCTCAATGCTCAACACCTCTACTCCAAGGATCATCAAACATTCATCAAGAACATCACGGCGAACAGTACAATAAACCTGGCAACATTCCTTTTCATACCCGGATCGTATCATCCGATCTGCAATCTCTTTCAGATCAATCACAGCATCTGGATGAACCAAATCAAGGGAAATATCATCTCCCCCCAAACTCACACCTCGACTGTGCCTACGCTGACTATATCCCCCACTGCTAACATCATCGAGATTCACACTCGCATCATCATTAAAAAGATCCGTCGCAGCCATAGCCATTGCCGCAGAAAACGACGAGAGCGAAGACCGATGAAGGCGATCAGGGTCAAGAGGAACCGTATTACTAATCAAGATATGCCTAAACTCATCCTCCAAGCGCGTCATCGCCAATTGCAGTGCGTTCTCCGCCCTATCCATAACATCATCCTTCACATCTCCCACCCTAGTTTCCCCTTCCCGATTATTCAAATTCAATTCCTCAGTCAATTCTATGATCTCATCAATAGCATCCCAATAATCCTCGCTTATTGAAGACGAATTTACCTCATTCAGAATGATCTTCTCAGCAGCCTCAAATCGCGGGTCGTCGGAAGGTGGGTCCTCACCGGAGACAAAGGAGGAGAGATTGGAGAGGCGGTTGTCGAAGGCTGAGAGAATCATCAACATATCATCGGCGTCTGAAGTGTTGTTAAGGCTCTGAACGATCCTTTGTGCAGTAGCTAAAACCTTATCTTGTCCTTCTACAGTTGCTGCCATCGCTGTCACCTTCCCTATATGAATATGTACAGATTCAGATGGGTTTTGTGCAAATAAGGGTTCGGGATTTTTGGGAGGCGAAAATTTAAGGATTCAAGCGATTGGTTGCCATTATTGATTTCTCTCTCTGTGAACTCCGCGTGTGTGTTGACGATTCAATTTCTGAAACATAGAAACGACGACTTAAGCAGAGTTCGGACCGGACCGTTTGGTTTGGGTCTGACAGGTGATCAGCCGGCTTGTGTTTTGATAACGTCTAAGCGGGTGTGCAAGATGCCATCGTGCAATGGTGCGGGCCAAGGGTTGAATTAAAATTTCTCAAATTTTTTGTATTAACTATTTATTTATTATTTATAAAATACCTATTTTTTTTTTAATGAGATTCGGATAGGACAAGATAGGATAGGAACGAGAGGTGTTTTGTCATTCCTAACTACATGTTGAAACTTTTCGTTGAAAATTTTCCAAACGAACTCGAATATGTTTTATATTTATCTATAGGATTTAGTTTAAAATTAAAATTTAACTCGATCAGAATCTTAAAGTGAAGAACTAAGTTGGATAAAAACTTCTTTTGGTCTATATTTCGGAAGATTGACTCGAATTTAGAAGTAAAATGGATTTTCGAGTTTCAATTTCCATCCTTGACTTCAAAATTAACATTTTTATAATCTTTCGATTAAATTAATACTTTGACCTATTTCCTCTTTTCATCCAAATAAAAAATTTCTACCAACCTTTCAAAAGCCACCAGAAAACCCACAACTATTATTCATTATTCACTATTGTATCCACAACTTATAATTAATTTTAATTTACATAATAGGGCAACAGTATAAATCAAAGGATCCAATAAGTAAAAGATTGAAAATTACTATATATTCATAATAAAGGAAATATAGGCTGAGGAGAAGCACAAAGTGTTTGCCTTCTCAGCAAATGTACTAGATGTAGCTGCAGCTTAAGAACAACTTCAGAGCCTGTTTGTTTACCATTATGGGGAGGAAAATAGAATAATGAATAGTATTTTTTGGAGAATGTGTGGTTGAAATTTAAAACAACTTTATTGGTTTATGTGTAGAATATTTTATTGGGTGAATATGTGGTGGAGATTGTTTACTGTAGAAAACAATTTTTGGGTAAATGGTAGACAAACAGGGGCTAAATAATAATTTATCATTAAACCAATATTGTACACAACTTTTCATCCAAATAAAAAATTTCTGCCAACCTTTCAAAAGCCACCAGAAAACCCACAACTATTATTCATTATTCACTATTGTATCCACAACTTATAATTAATTTTAATTTACATAATAGGGCAACGGTATAAATCAAAGGATCCAATAAGTAAAAGATTGAAAATTACTATATATTCATAATAAAGGAAATATAGGCTGAGGAGAAGCACAAAGTGTTTGCCTTCTCACCAAATGTACGTAGCAGCAGCTTAAGAACAACTTCAGAGCCTGTTTGTCTACCATTATGGGGAGGAAAATAGAGTAATGAATAGTATTTTTTGGAGAATGTGTGGTTGAAATTTAAAATAACTTTATTGGTTTATGTGTAGAATATTTTATTGAGTGAATGTGTGGTGGAGAATTTTACTGTAGCAAACAATGTTTTAGATTAATGGTAGACAAACAGGGGCTTATTTAACTTTTATTAAATTAATCATAGATTCAAAGATAATGGTAGACAAACATGGGCTCACGTTCAATAAGACCTTCCAAGTGTTAACCATTATATGTCGCTAGCAATAGCATAGGCCGAAGTAGGACATTTGAGTGAACCTGCAAAGTTAATGTATAGTTCGCGAATGGGAAAACACGAAGTAGCACGAGTTCATAGCTTTTTGGTATTTTTAGGTTCTTCGGTCGATATGAATGGCTAATCTACTGTAACGTTAGCCATTTCCTTTGTTACTTACCGAGCCCCAAGTACTATTTTTAATAGTGTTATCCCCCAATTTCGAGGTCTAAAGAGGCTGGACCACGTGGTAGAACGGTCAACAAGGAGTCAAGAGGAAGGCCAATAAGTCAGAAGTCCAAGTACGAAAATGGGTCGAGGTCCTTAACCCAGCAGCAGATGCTTTAGCATTAATAAGCCTCGGCCTGAAGCACTTCCTCAAAGACGAGGCGCTACCCAATCCGAGGTTCTTTCAGGCTCGTCCGAAACTCATGAAATCGACGCTGCCTCACACCAGATTCGAAGATCTTTTTGAATTGATTGATGTGAGTCACATCTGCTGTAAACTGTCTGTAATTTTAATCATTGTCAGCCTATTACTAGAACGGCTGACCTTTAGTTAAAACATTAAATATAATGAGTAGATAATGATGTGAAGCTTCGGCTTAGGGGATGTCGCCACGTGGACTTGATCCAACGATCACCACGTCGGCTAGAACAGTATAAATAGCTACTCTCTGTATAGAAAAAAGGGACGGTGGATTGATGTAAAGAATATACAAACACATTCTCATACAAATACTTGAGACTTTATTGAAAAGAAGGGAACTCATCTACTCATCATAACTATTCTTCATCATATTTCATTATTATTTTGTTGAAGAGGAGATCATTGATAGTGTGATAGTCCTGAAATATATCGCCGGAACCTTAACATTTTTGTCTCTCACCGGAAAGTACCTCCCACGTTCACTGCAGTTGGATTACCGTTCTTATTCCGGTAAAAACGTGCTGGATCAGTACTTACGTGGCGAGAGTGGGCTCAGCACATATTGAGTTCATTTTTTGGGGTCAACAGATTGGCATCGTTTATAGGAAATACCTACATTTAACCACAAATACACATGGGAAGAATGTAAAATTACATTTCTAAAAAGATCAACGGGAAAAAGTGCTTGTCTTTGAAAAAGGAGCATCCTTACAGCAAGAACGACCAAGGACTTGACACCCTTGAAGAAATGGATAAAAAGTTGCTTGCCAAGATAACCAAAAGATGAGTTCAATGGATGAGCATGCTCCTAGAAGAACGAGTGAACACCCTGAAGAAGGGGAACCCTTGCATGCTACTCAAGCAGCCCGCCCAAGACCTCCAATACGCAGGAGAGGAGGTTCTAGGGGCAGAGGGGGAGTAGCAGCCAGACTGACTAGGGAAATGGCGATAATGGCGGCCAACATGAGAAAAATCACTCAACAGAACCTAGCCATGCAAGAAATATTGATGAGCATGCAGGGACAAGGAGGCTACCAGACTCACCAATATACAGCCCCGGAAGATGTCTTTCCTAAAGCTCAAGGGTACTATCAGGAGGAAGAAGTACAAAGTCGAATGGACGAACCTCCGTATGCTGGGATGGAGGCCCCTTAGGAGAGAGATGTCGAAATGGACGTCTCGGTAAACCACGCCTCCGAGAGACTATATGAGGTCCCATTCAACCATTCTCCAAACTATAAACCAAAAAATCGATTCCAGAGGTCCAGAAGTGTTTTCGACCAAATAAGCTCAGGGGTGCCTAGAGATAGGCAGGACCATTCACCCCAAGCACCTAGAAATAGGCAAGCTTATTCTCTACCACCTCCGACTAAAAGGAGGCAGCATGAGCCTCACCAACCTGAGGATCCGCCGACGTACACGAAGAGCCTCCAAATCTGAGAGAGCCTTTGACCCGACCCCCTAGAAATAGGAGGGAAAGGAGAAATCAAGCTAGAAATGAGGCAGGAACCTCTTAGCTTCTCCCCCAGGCACCCCAAAAAGATGATGGAGATTCAGATGGTCCTCAAAGATCCTATGATTTGGACGATGACGATGACTAATCTTCCTTCTCAGAAGCCATAAGGAGTACCTCCATGCTGAACCACTTTTCACTCCCTAAAATCCCAAAGTACGATGGGAGATGTGATCCCGCAAAACACATAAACAACTACAAGACCTATATGAATTTGAAAGGAACCACTCTAACAACAAAGTATAGGGCCTTTCACTTTACGTTAAGTGGAGGCGCT